TTCCGCCTCGAGCAAATGCCGCAAGTAGTACGGTCGGCAGTAGCATCAGCGGTATATCATTTGCGGCGGCATAAGTCAAGTCGTTTTTCAACTCAATTGGCTCTGTAACTCTCCGAATCTCACTAAAAACCTAAGTGTCCCTTCTTATCTTTATTTTCACGCGGTATATACATATATATATATATATATATATATATATATATTGAAGGAGGTGTGTGGAATAGGTGATCTCATTCATTCTGAAAGTGACTTGCTACTCCTCTGAAACATTTCAATGTGAAGGCTTATGAGGGGAATGTCGAAATCGCAGCATTTCTAGTCCATACTATAGTAGTAAGAAAAGGCCAACTCATATGATTTGGAGATTGTGCGTCCATTCAGTTCAAATTTAAGAAATCATGTTAACACTCTCTTATCATTTTAGGTATCTTACAATTCCTAACCGGTTTCTTTAGAGATCTAATGCTATATACTGTCCCTCGAAAATAGAACGCGGCTGAAGATAATACGTTAAGAATCGAAAAAGTCATTCTACCTGGTGATGGCTTGTTTATTTTCATTTCTTTTATAATTCTCTTCGTAACCTCTGAAAGCCAAATTATTATTTTCTTAAAAAAAGTGACCAATTAAAATCCTGTTTGAAGTTATAATTTCCATTGGGAACGAAATTATGGCTCACAAAATTTTGATATGGAATTCAGTATTCTCTTTTACAGTTTACTTGTTCATTCAACTTGAGTTATTTTTATAGTATTGATTGGTAGAAACCCCAATATTTGCCCTTTCTCCAAATTCTATTATTAATTAATGATTTGCCTTGACTAAAGGTCGGGTGTCCTTAGGACAAAATAACTTTGCACATTTCTTGCCAACTATCTTAAGGCTTAGAGAGTTCAAACTATTTCGATAATGGATGAAATTATTCACCAGAAACTATATTCGTTTCTTTGTAAACTATATTTACACCTTTTTCGCCTCCTCATACCTTAAACCTGATTAGGTAAAACACAATTGTGCACGATTTGCACATTTTCATTTGTGTAAAGCATCATTTAATCTTACGTCCAGTTAGAAAGGTCCTTCATCAAGAAATTTTAATATTTTTTACGTCTGTGTTGTGTTCACATTAGTCACAGTGAATGGTCATCCTATTTAACGAGCGCAGTCTGGTAAATAACTCTGAGGGGTTGATCGCAATCTCTTAGGAGTCCCAACATCCCCATATAGTTCAATTACATCACCACTATGTCACAAATAACCGCAAAACAAGCATTAAACAGGCGGGAACTATAAATTACTTTAATGGCGAAGGGGTAGAGAGGGAGAGAGAGAGCGATGGTAAGCACATGGGGGATATGTGTTAATGACTGACTCCGTGTGAACGTATTTCGCATAAATGGGGTTAATATTTTTTACTTACTTGCCCCATAAAATTCTCCCAGTTCTTAGGGGAAAAGAAGAAGCGGGAGTAGGAAAAAAAGCGGGAGGATAGATATTTTGAGCTCTTTTCTGCTCGAATTGCGTGATATTCCACTTTCGATCAGTACGGTGAACTCTCTCCTTAAAACTCACAAATAGCTCATTGAAGAATTGTGGAGTCTTTGCGTCCTACTTGCACAGTACTTTTTTGCCTACTTCTAAGCCCTTTGGCGGTGAGACTCAGAAAAGTTGAAGAAGAAAGAGACGGGGTTTTAGGCGGTTGTGTTCCCGTTCTCTTGTGCTCTTATTCTGTGTATGCGGAGAGAGGGAGAGAGAGGGGATTTTGCTTGGCCCGAAAAATAGATCAGCGGTTTTTACGCCGCTAACCGTTAGGGAATACTCACATTCCTGCTTTGAACATTGTCCGCCCTCCCGCCCTCTCTCTCTCTCCCTGTGTATGCATTCCCTCCCTTTTATACACACACGCGCACACGCACGCACACAAAAGTGTGTAAAAAGGTCGTCGAGGGGGTAAAAAGCGGGTCTAATTTTGCCCTTTGTGTGTTGGGATGCCGAAAGCCCTTTGGAACTTTTCCCAGTCCTCTTCCCCTCCCCCTCTCCCGTAACTCAAATTCGTCGCAGTTCTATAAACAGTTTCTGGTGCTGATAGATTTTAGCTTATTTCCAATACATGACATGTAAACTTTCCATAAAAAATGTAGCCCACAAATAAAGGATTTGTCAGAATTAACTACTTCTTTTAAGCACAGTTCACATTATTTTAGGATTAATATGTCAAGGTGTTTTAATTTTGATATTCCATTTCGTTAATTTTCTATCGTTGGAGTAGAATTCGGAGCTTTAATATATTTTTGTTTTTTAAAAAAATAGGTAACTCTTTTTTTCTGTTCTTCATGTTGTTTGACTGCATAAATTGTTGATTTTGATAGGTCGGGGTAGTTTAAGAAACAACGTTTATTCCTTTGTTTTTTTTTTAATTTAATGTATTCATAAGATAGGTTATAATAGGTCTTGATTATTGTGTTTTCATTCCGTGGGGAAAATTCATTTCAAATGGTATTAGGTCAGTCTTTCTCCAAATGTTAATGCTGTAACCATTGCTTATATATATATATATATATATATATATATATGTTCTGCTATCTTTTAAAACTCTTGATAAACTTTTGGAGTGTAGTAAGTACAGGTTAAAAGTAGAACTCAGCAATACAAATATCTCAAAACTAGGCTAAGTGGTATCTGCTACTTAATGCATGTTTGTGAACTAGATTACTTTGAATTGACTTAATGAGTCTGTGAATTGAGATCTACAAATGAATTATCAGCATTAATTGGACTGTGGAAATAACAAGTCTATCTTGCAGTTCTAATTGTAATTTACGTAATGCAAAGGGGTGAAGTAATTAGATATCTCAGAGTTAAGTGAATTCCCAATGGCCTCCACCTTTCTGGTATTCTGAAGACTAACCCATTATCTGTTCATCATGCAAATGAAGTATTTCATACATGTGATAATTGTTTCTCATTGTTTTTTTACGGAAAAGGATACCTCACAAAGGAAACGTTAACCAAATAATGACAAATTAGCTAGTCGTGGCTTGTGTACTGGAACAAATAAATTGCACCTCTTGATTGGAAAGTAACTCGTTAAATTGCTTCTGAGTTGCTAAATGCTCAATAATGGACCGAATGATCGAACCGCTATGAGGTTTAGAAGCCAGCTCTGTTCGAATGCTAAAATGGTTAGGAATCGTTGCGAAAGTGTGAGCTCAGATAATGTAAAATTCTTCAATGAGAGTTTGAGAAACTGCAAGCTAATGCTTAGGTGCAGTTCAATTCCAAAATAAAAGATTTTTCGCATATTTTGCCTCCAAACTTTATTTATAATTTAATAAAATGGTTTTAACGAAAACTATTTCTTCTCAAAAACTTCGTATGAAAATATACATGCTGTTTTAGGGGCATTTATTTATCGAGTCGTTTAAGTTGCGCAATTCAAGTGTTAATTGTTTGTTATTAAAAAAAACAATATTTAGGAAAAATGATCTAAAAATGAAAAACATCATTTGTTTTTGATCCACGATTAATAATATAATTGCTTATTAATTAAATTATTTCTTATTTGTGCTTTTGTCAATTAGACGTCCATCACAATTAAGAGTCCCCAATAAAATTTTTCGCGTGGGAAAATTGGTTTATTGCATCGAGTCGAATTAAATTTTCACCATTGGGAAAATTTTTGAGATATAATGCTTAATGCTTTTTGTTATCTTCACTCTCACTATTTCATTAGCATGAATATTGTTTATTAATTTCCCTTTACGCAACTACTTTCAAGTTGTTTAATTTACATCGAAGTGATATCCATGCGTATATTTCTTATGCTTTCAATAAATGCTTGTTTCCCTTTAGAGATATTAAATTAATAGATAACCAACTGGGTGAACAATAATTCGCACGAATTCTAAAAGTGGCACTAAAGTAGCTCTTGTGAAAATTCGTTTAGGGAAGTTGAGGATTCTGATCATAAAACTGTGATTAAGACTATTATCGCAGCGCTCTGTGTATGCTGTGCCCAACCAATTAGTAAAAAAACATGTATAAAAGTTTTAAATTGTTTTATTTAACTAATTTGGAGAGAAGATATTTGTTATGAAATAATAAAATTAATTTGTGGATTGTTCTTAAACAGATAGTTTTCAGATTGAGACCTCAGTGAAAAAATAAATTGTTATGATCCCACTTGTTGCTCCTATTTCAGAGTACTTAACGCTCATCAACAAAATCAAAGTATATTTGAGGAAATTAAATCAACTTTTCTCCTGTCATTCACCCTTTCTCCCAAGATTGATATTTGTCCTCCCACCCCACCCCGCCCCTGCCCNCGCAGTTCATATTCTTGTTTCTCATTTGAGGTAAAGTGGGTGAGAGCATATCATTATGTCCCTCCGTCCATGTATCCATTAGCAGTTAGACAACTGAGTTGATCGATTAAAAAAAGGGGCTTGCTCATCATAGTTGCCTGGTTAATTCATATTGTCTGCGCCTTCTGTACATTTGTCTATTAAGGAAAATAACTAGTTACATCGCGGATTAAAGTCAAATAAAGTTATATACCGCAGATATATGCATTTTGGACCCCCTCCCGTTTTGTTTTGATAAAATTTACTAATCTTCTTGGGTATGCGTTCAGCGCCATGGTGCCTATCTGGTGAGAAAAGAAAAGTTTGCCTCTCCCAGAACTAACCATTGTGATTGATCATTTCATTTCCTAGATGTTCACTGATGTGGGTCCCGAAGTGACGACCTCCTATGACGTTATTTAAGTTTTGTAATCTTGCCTTCTAGGTGATGCAAAATCCCGTTAGACTGACCTTTTAGTTCTTCCGTATATGATCAATGTCTAAATTTATATCTTCTCTTACTGATTTGTTCAAATATCTAACGCGGCTAAATGGATTAAGGAAGAAGATAACTATGGTTAGAGTTAAGGGAGTGAGCGATAGATAACGATAGTAGAAGAGGGAAGTGGGTAGGATGAGGAGAAGCAGCAAACATTGCTACTTCTGCTCAATCGGCCTGCTATCTTTGAGCGCAAACGGCAGAAGGCGGTGTCCACCCAGTACACTTTTTATACACTCACAATTACTATCTCTTCCCCTCCATCCTTCCACCATTCCTTGCTTCCTCACCACCGTCAACAAACTGCTGATGCCGCTCCTTTGTAGAGTAGTCGGTAGCTGCCGACTGAGGACAGAGTGTAGGGCGAGTTCACTGCTAGAAACGAGACACAGAGCTGCAGAGCGGCAGCTTTCCACAAACCACTCGATAAGATCGTTTCGCAGTTTATGTGCAGGTTTTTCATTTTGTCAGATAAGGCATTCTTTCTTCATCACTTCCACTAGACCTGCTTTATGCTCTTGTAAGGGTCTGATAAATTTCCTTCTACAAGCTTAAGCATCACACCAGCCTTCTGTTTGAAATATTGCGGCAAATAAATGGCCAATTATATTGATTTAAATAGGCTATGGCGAATAAGCGTTTCAGGGAATTGGACAACATGATTTACAGCAATAAATTTCCAGGCTTTTAGAAGACGATTTCTAAATGACGTAGATATTTCCTTTAATTTCATAGTGATATTTGTTCAGGGCGTTGTTGGCCGAAGAAATTTAACGCGATTTAGATCTACAAAATTCTTTTGTAATTTTTCCTGCAGTAGGGCTCGTAGGGTTGGGTAGACTAGTTTCGGCTTACTATTTATTTCTAGGCTTCTATGAACTCAAACCATGAAAAATAAGATCGAAATTAATTTACTCAAATAAAAAACATTATTAACTCCACCGTGACTCTGTTAATATAATCTGCTTTCATATTATGAACATTCGAAGGTCCAAATCGTGCCTAAACTGTCATTGTGCTACCAGAAGCTACATGTGCTTGCATGTTGATAATGGTGATTTGCGATGTAGAAACTATTATTTAACCTAAGTTTTGTACCTTAGGATCCTATTTGTAAGCTCCTGAAATTTAACTCCTTTCACCTTTCTCAAAAAATCACGTTTTCTTGTATATAGCCAACTGAAAATGCACGTTTTGATAATGAATGAACACAAGCACTTTTTATAGTCCTCGAAATTCCTGCAAATAGTTTATTTAAATATCATTCGCTAAGCACTAGGAAATTAAAGTTTACTTAGCGATTCATTTCAAGAGGATCTGGTATCCGACACTCATAGATTCCCCATATCTATGTTTCAGGGCATTAGCCATGTATTTTCAGCCTGTAGAAATGGCGACTTTTTCAGTTCTTGAACAGGCAAACATTAAGTCCACATGGAAGTAGTTATTGCTCCACTCCACTCCCTCCCCCCCTCCCCCACCTCCACTCTCCATTTCTTTATTGTACAAGAAATGGTTTCTTGATTTGCTGAAAACAGCCCTAGGTGTTTAAAGAAATTAAAATCAAATTTTTGTTCGAAATTCCTCTAGCGAATCGTTTAATTTACGAGGACCTACAATCGGTGTGAACTTACCTTTTTAGATAGTTTGCGCATACTTGCATTTAACATTACAAAGTATTGGGTGGCAACAGCAGTTCCAATAGAACACTAGGGGGTACAGAAATTATTCTGAACCTGGCAGTATAAGATCCAGATAATGTGTACATAGTCCGATCTAAACATTTTTTTCCCACTCAAAGACTTCTGTCCCTCTTAATTTATTCTTCGTTTATTAAATCGAGGAACAGATTGAAATCAAGTGCTAATATTAAAAAAATCGAATTCTTAAAGTTTTGTCTTCGTATCCTCGTATCTAGATTACAAATTGTTTTTGTTTGATTTAATTGAAATCAATAACAGTGCGGGCGTGTGTGAGTGTGCGTGTGAATCTTCAAACAGTTCCTTCTTCTGTCCCTCTTAATTTATTCTTCGTTTATTAAATCGAGGAACAGATTGAAATCAAGTGCTAATATTAAAAAAATCGAATTCTTAAAGTTTTGTCTTCGTATCCTCGTATCTAGATTACAAATTGTTTTTGTTTGATTTAATTGAAATCAATAACAGTGCGGGCGTGTGTGGGTGTGCGTGTGAATCTTCAAACAGTTCCTTCTATGACATTATTTTTGACTCTCAGAGCATATTATAATTCATTTGGAGACGAGGCGTCAATAGGTTTATGTTACATAATAATAACGATCGTGTCTTTGATTCCCCGGTAGCATTAAATTCCCATCTGCCCAACTTTTAAACAAAACATTAACGAACGAACTTAGACGAACCATTTCAAATTCACGTGCAGCTTTTCCGGCTTGTTGTTTTTACAATTTCCATGGGAATTTCTGGCTATATGGGTACAAAATATCATCACAACAATTATACAAAAATACACGTTCTTGAAGCTATTCATATGGGCGCCTTTTGTAATCGTACGAATTCATTTAGTAATGAATAATGATAATGATGGATTAATAAATATGGGGTTAATTGCATCGCTGTATATATATATATATATATATATATATATATTGCTCCTTAAAAACGTATAGATTTCTCCAGTCAATGATATATCTATCTTAAAAATCATAGCTTATTCCCTGAGTGAAAATTCCTTATGCGTCTTCCATTGTATTGCAAGAGTTAGTGACAAAAATGGCATTAATAATTTGACTTCGCTAACACACGAATTCGTGTGTGTATGCTATAGTAGGGTCGTTCTTCGTCGTGGAGCGCGGCAGTAGTGTCGGCTTAGCGGCGCAGTGTTCTGCCGCGGTCATTCCCCTAGACAACACCGCCAACACGGCAGTTTTAGTCGGAAGAGAAGTAGCGGCTACTGTCAACCACCTTACTAAGAGGTGGAACTTATTTACTACTGACTGTGTAAGCGTATTCATGTATGTATGACACTATTGCACGCAGACAAAATACAGTGTAAGAGGAGGACAAAACAGTTTTTTGTTTAGGGATACGCTATGTCAGCGCACTAGTTTGCCGCTCGATTACTGTCATCATTCTGAACTTCACATGACACCTCCTCCACTCCTCCCTCTATCGCTTCCAAAGTACCGTCATATAGGGGTCATCTATTTCCCAAAATGGACATCCTTACCTCCTGCACATGAGCAGTGTTTAAATAGGGTAAAATATGAGATTTTGCATATGTACTCTCTGGCAACAATATATCTATCTTAAAGGACTGACTAAAACAATGAAAAAATAAATATTGTGTCAAATTCTTATTTACTATTGACTCTTTAAAATGGCTCGTGGACTCAGTATTGTAGAAATTCAACTGAGTCTGGGTGAAATATAAAGCAGATAGCTCCTTCGCGTGAATCTTGAAATTGAGGTTAGGGTATAAGGGTATATTATAAGGGTATAGTAGGATAAATTTAAGGCAGCGGAAACATACTTTACAATTTCTTTGTTCCACAAGCCTTAAATCACCAGTCCAAATGTGCTCTAACTTGTCATTAAGCGTTGCATAGTTTTCGAAGTGTATGTAAATATAGCTCCTTAAAAGAACAATGCTCTAATTTAATAACTTTCAGATAATTTCTAAAATAAAAGTTCCGAAGAAGAATGCCTTTGCGTCTTTAGGCATTTACTGATATTCGATGTAACTGTAGTTTTCGTTATCGGAAATATGATTTCCATTTATTTCATTTCCCATAAATCGGACCACATTTTTACTTCTTACATCCTACGTGACAGTTTGAGGAAAGTGGCACACGTTCTCATTGCTTTTGATAAGGAAGATTGTTTCCTCAAATTCGCGAATTATTTCGCACACTTACCACTGTCAAAATGAGCTGAGTTCACTTAGTACTTCCACCCTGCCAATTTGAGTTCATGTCAGAAGTTAATAAAGTTTAGTTGACATTTGAAACACAATTTTGAACATTGCACTTATGCTCCTATCGTCCTACCAATGACTTTAATTGTCTACCCAAAATGAGGCTAAACATTTTGACATCAGCTTATTTGGAGTACTTCATTAGTTGACATCATGTGGCCTATTAGTTACTCGGTAACTTCACCTTTTCCTCAATAATTTCATTTTTTAATTATGGCAATGTGAGACATTTCAATTAAGGTAAACAGTGACCGAAATAGGTAGGGGAGACAAATAAGTTGAAGGAGGTTATGAGTACCGATCACAAAGATCATAAATTTATTTGAGTTCTGGAAGTACTAAATTGTCCATTATCTTACGAGATTCATACTTCACTTCATAATCTCCTAATGTTGAAATTTAACGAATTGAATAGGATTATTTCTCAGATCTTCAAAGCCTTTTGGAGTGGATTTTTCGTGTCACTTCAATGTGTTTATCTCTTCTAATGAAGAAACTTATATGATAACAAAAATACTTCAACTTAGCGGTGCTCGTAATATATTTGACTCTTAAAAGCCATCCACATCCTACTTCAAAATGCTCACTTTGTGGAGTACATCCAGAAAGGAATCTGTTGGTTGGTTGTTCTCATGCTCGTATGCTTCCACCTTCTTTGCCACTTTAATTATCGGAAACTTAAATCTCTTTCCTACATATAATTGAACTGAATTCAGAATTCGCATTGTGTAGCGGACTTTGCTATGGAATGTCACAAGCGGTTTAGGCGATATAGAAAGATAGAGAGAGAATGCGGCTTGACTACTGGCGGGACATTTTTTCAGCCGCAAAATGATTTGCGCACTCCGGCAAAGCCGCCACCACCACACCCCAACTTTTTACCATCCCCTCTCTATCCTGCCTCAATTCCAAAGTATTTGGCGGTAAGGGCAGCAGTCCTTTTCTCCTAGTTTTGATGTGCAAGCCTTAGAGGTAAAAGTACCGATGAGCTACCGAAATGAGAATAAAGCCTGTCCCAGCCCTTTGTAAGTGTCGTGCGCTTCTGGAGCATTCCACTTCACTCGCTCTCACAATCATTCCGACTACTACTTTTAACTGTCGGCTCATCTTTTTCACTCCCACTTGCTCAACGCCACTGATCATAGATTCCCCATTTTTAATTATCATTTTGTTACAAAAAAATGAATAGATCAAATCGTCATAGTGGCAATTTCGAAATGATGTTTACTTTTTTTGGTCGATTTTAATCGATCACTTGCCTAAACGCGCTTGTGTCGTTTTATTAATTTACATCAGGTCTATCACACTTCATCACTACCTATCCTCCTTATCTCAAATAATCTCTGTAATACGATTTGAAAGATATAATGTCTTATATTTTTTAATATTGAGTCCTATTTTCATTATGTGACAATACTTTTTAAGCAGAATTTTCATTTTGCGAAGAAAATTGCCGGCTTAGATATTGACTTTACAAGGGGGGGGGGCATGTCTTTCACTCACTTGGCATTCCATTCATCTCGAGCCGTTTGAGTAGTATTCATCGTGATGTTTAATTATTTTGACCTTGCTTTTGCATAAACTCAAAATTTCAAGACTTTTGTG